AGGATACCCCTCCACTTGAAGCTGGCGTCCCACGCTTGCTTTTGTACCGTACTTGGAATACTTTGAAAAATACAAAGACGTATTAACAATGGGGGTGTAGAGGCTTCCTCATGTAGATGTAGGAATGAGAAGTCACAATTTTAAATAATGAAGAAGGAAAAAATTTCTCACGACATTTTCGGGTTCACGAGTAGCGAGTGAGGTCGGGTGATGAATCTCGAGATTCCAATCATGTCCATCCAAAACGCCATGGCAATGTAGCCTCGATCAAGTCAAGAATTCCCATCCACCGTGCAAGTATATGCAGTCAACTCTTCCACCGCCACGAACAGCACAAGGCCGTGATTCCACGCAGGGCATATGCACATATGCACAATATCAGCTGAGCCTTGATCCATCCATCCCATCTGTCCATCCAACCCACCTCACCGGCCGTCACTTCAACCCTTGTCCCTCTCCTGCCTCCCCAACCTGCTCACCTGCAGATACACAAGCGGTGCAACAAAGGTAGCCCCCAGAATGCCCGCCACGATGAGGAAATGGCCCCCCAAGCTCGTCTGCGGCTCAAACTCGACGTCGTCATCGCCCATGGCTCTCCGCCGCCGCCACCGCCGCCGCTCATCCTCTCTCCGATGCGTCCTCGTGTGGCCGTGCGTGTCAAAGTGCGGGACAGAATCATCGCGTCTGTCTGTTGCACCAAAGGGATTCGAGCCAGGTCCCATTCCTCCGTATCGCGACTGCGACTGCGACTCCGACTGCGTGGATGATGATGATGATGATTCCTCATGCGCCTTCCTCCGCTTCTCTCCCTGCGCACCCCACCCGCCGTTCCTGTAGAAGCTAGGCGGGGGTCCGCGAAACGAGCCTCTCCGCCTGGACAAGCCAGAGGGGCTTCTCCCGCCCGGGTTAGGACCGGGGCCGGGGCGGCGCTCTCCCAGCCGGAGTGTGTCTCGGTCGTACTGCGCTCGTCTGGAGGGATCGGAGAGCACGGTGTAGGACTCGGAGAGGAGGGAGAATGTGTGCGCGGCGTGGGGATCCGAGCGGTTTACGTCGGGGTGGTGGGACTTGGAGAGCGAGTAGAAGGATCTGGGGGGGGGGGGTCGCAAGTCAGACGTTCACGTTCGGCTGGGAGTTGGTACTGGGAGGGAGAGGAGAGGAAGAGGGGGGGGGAAGAAGGGAGGTGAGCTTGTTTACTTCTTGATCTCGCCGGGTGAGGCATCATGGCGAATGTTGAGCCGCTCGTAGTGGTTCTTGCTGGCAAAGTCGGCGCATTGTCTTGGGGTGGCGTGGAAGGCTCGTGGGATGCACGGCTGGGGTGTGAAGCGAGGTGGGATGGCGAGGCGGGTTGCGAGGCGGGGTGGCATGGCATGGCATGCCTGGTGTTTTTTTTTCTCCGCGGGGAGGGTGAAGAGAACTAGATGGATGGCCGGATGTCGTTCGTGGGTTGGTGAGGGTTGGGGAAAGAAGAGGTTGCGAGGTGCGAGGTTCGAGGTGCGAGGTGCGAGAGGTCTGTGGAGGGAGAGGGAAGGGGTTTTCCGGAGACCCGAGGCGGGCCCGCCTTTTGCACGTCGCTGGCACGCACATTAAGTAGACTGGAGTCACTGAAGAATTTATTACAACCATGTCATGTTTCAAGGTTGCTCATTTGTGCATCTATTTTCTATTTCCTCCCGTTCTGTTTGACATTGAACTAGTATGCAGCCGCAGAGACCACGTACTCGAACAGTTAGTTGTACTGCCGGGCCTGTGTAATCACGTCACCTTGAAACAATGAGGCAGAACCCGGCCTGTGAAGCTACGCATGAGAATCCCACGGCTTTATTTTATGTTGGTGGTTAGGAACCAATTGGTCGCTTCACTGGGTGCGCTTCCGTGTTGAACACCCACTCGTCAAGGCTCACGACACCTTCGTCTTCAAATGTAAGATAGAAATACTTCGTAGTCTCGGCTAGCCAAAAAGTCTAGAGGGGTTCAACGCAAAACAGTCAGAATTCGTACACTTCTCTGCATGTGTTGGGTAGTTGGGATGCTCACCTCCATGGTATCAAGCTTGCGACTGCCATGTCTCGTTGTATCCGCAACGGTCGCAAATGCTAGCTCCGTCTCCGTCTCCTTGACAATGGCTTCCCACATGCGCCATGCTGCATCTCTCCAGACTGCATCCCCTGTTACGCGCCACATGTAGAAGACGCTCTCGATAGCCTCTGGCCGTAACATGTATTGCGTGTCGGTAGCCTGGAGGAAGCCGCCTGGAAGCGCTGCGTCGCCCATGGCCGTGAACAGCCCCTCGTTGTAAGGGCACGGCGCGTCCATCTTTTCACACTTGTGCAAGATGCTTGATTCTGGCATGATGTTGGTCTCGAACGAGTCGTAAGCCCACACGCAACCGGCAGTGAGGCGGACCGCGAGGTCGACATAGTCTTTGCGATCGATCAGCTTGCCAGCAAGAGCATACATGCCTCCCACAAAGCAAGTCAGATGCTGCATCGATGCTTCAGGATCTCGCTGCGCGGCAGAGACATCCATGTTGCCTGACATGAGAATGTCGTCATCCTTGGGGGTCATGGGCTTGAAGAGCAAGAGATCTCGACCAGCATCCAGCGCTCTGGTTGTCATTTCCACATACTGGGGATCCAAGCCGCCAAGCAGAGCATGCATCTTGGGGAGATACTCGTACTGGGAATCTGCATCGGCACCAAAGGTGAAGAAATCGTCCTCGATCTTGCCATTGAGGAAATCCATGTCCCATGGCCACAGCCCAGGCGCTTTGGTTCGATTCTGGTAGTCGTAGAAGAATCTCTTGACTCGCTCGGTTGCATCGTAGTATTTGGGATCGCCCGTAATCTGGCTTAGACGGGTGAACTCTACGCATAGAGAACCACTCGCAGCTCCGGAGATGCTGCGATCACCTGTCGTCTCTCCAGCTTGGGCCTTTTTATAGCTGAGCCAATGCGTCGGAAGGCGGTTCGGTGTGTCAAAGGCCATGTACAGAGCGTCGCCGAGCTCAATGGCCTTGTTCAGAAGCACCTTCTCCTGAGACAAATCATACGCGGCAAGCAGTCCGCCGAGGTAGCGAATCGTCACCTCAAAGACATTGATGGTGCTGCCGTCGTGCTTGGACCAGTTAATCTTGGCAACTTCCTTGACGGCCTGGTAGAAGTCATCCTTGAGGCCCATGATCCATAATGAATCCAAAGCGTCGACGAGTTGTGCAGACCAGCCCGAGAAGGTCGTCTTACCCTTGCCAGAGAGAGGCATCAGTTCGTCTTGGCCCCATGCATAGTGTTTGTACGCATTCCAGCTCTTGATGAAGGCCTTCCTGACTGCTTCCTTGCGGGCATTGGCGACATCATCCTTGCCGTCCGAGGCGGTTCGGTGCTGAATTCGGGGCAGCGTCTGAGGATTTCCGGATGGCAACGGGACGGTGTTGTTGGGAGGATGGAAAATTTTGGCCTTGCTCCAGTCTGTGGTGCTGGGAACATAGAGAATATCGCTGTGGGCCCGGGAAGAAGAGGAAGCCGAAGACCACGACGGCCGGAGGGCCAGGCGGCTAGGGGCGAAGCCGTGCCAGAGGAGAATGGCGAGGAGGAGGAAGAGGGCGAGAGCGATGTAGCGGCGCGGCGGAGGGCCTTGGAAACAGCTCAACATGACTGCAGCATGTCCGTGTGCCGTGTGCCGTGTGCCATGTGCCATGTGCCATGTGCCGTGTGCCGTAGGAAGTCTGTCTCGTCACGATTGTCAAAGGAGGGCGATGCAATCAAAGGGATCTTCTGGTGTCAGCCGGGGGGGGGCCAATGACATGGCATGGTCCAAGCTGCAGATGCCAGCCGGGATGCATGCACCCACCCACCTGGGCCCTGGCATTGTGCGGGGGCGGGCTGCAGCGACCGACCAGCAGGCTGGCGGCCGGCAGAAGTGGGGTGGGGTTAGGAGTTCGACACTGGTATGACGCACGGTCACGCACCCGCCGCTTTTACTCAGGCCAGACTCAGCTAGTTATCAGTCATGTGACTGAGAACTGCGTGCATCTGAAAATTATGCAGATTTGCATAAAGAAAGCGGAACTCAGCGAAACGGAGCTGAATAGATGGTCTCTGTTATGGTCCTTTGCCCCTCGAGTCTGGACGATTTGTGTCCGCTCCCTGTACAGCTACCCACTGATTGATTACCTATATCACGTTTGTATGAATTTTGTATGGATTCCTTCTAGCATGGCACCGTAGAAATACAGAGTAATCGCTAAAGGCAATTTGATATGCGCCAATTGAAAAATACACTGTTTATTTGATCCGTAGCTGCATAGTCTTTTACTGACGGTTTACGTGATTCTAGGTGGTTAGGTGGTTGAAATTGGCTATGATCAGGGAAAGCGGAGCTTTGCCTGCGTTTTGCGTGCAAGGCGAAGGCAAGAGAGTGGAGCGAAGCTTGCCAAAAAATTGGGCAGCCATAAGGGTCTTGTAACTATACTTGGTAATCTAATTAAGATATAGTCATACTAGCTCTATGCTAGTGTAGTCTCCTGAGTTAAGGACCTGCCGTAAGTCACTTGCTGTAGCAGTCACCACGTTTAGCGGCTCTGTGGGTGTAGCCATGATGAATAGAAGGTTCTGTAGTTGTTGATGTCAATTCCGGTGTTGTTGTTGGCACTGACTTTTTTTGTAACGTTGTTGGTTACGATAGAAGATTGATAGATTTACAAGCGCATATGTGGTTTCCCTTCAATGGTAATCAAGTACCTAATTAAGCAGTTACGGGTTGGAAGGTACCTACATAGACAAGCCGGCCAGGTTGGTGGGTGATCGTCACTATGTAGCCAGACACTGTCACCAGCCATGGTGACCATTAGAGATTATTACAGTAAACTGGCAACATGGTTCTATTCTATTTACTTGCAAGACAAAGGTATCTGTTCCATTCGCTCTCCAGTGCTCGTCACTGACCTCTTCAAAGACAGTCATGCTTGATATACATTCCTAATGGATGTCAGGCATCTACTAGCATCTTTGGTAGTATAGTGGTCAGTATGCGAGCTTGTCATTCCAAACGATTCGCTCTGGCCAGGTCTATGGGAACCCCGGCCGAGGTGAATCGAGCGGGTGAATCGCCCGGGGTTCAATTCCCTGCCGGAGAGAGGTAACTTTGGCCCTTTCTTCATCATGTCTTTTTAGTGTTGGGCACATGCATCAATATCCTGGCTGTTATCGTTTATGGCAAGCTTAATCAATACATAAGACAACAGTGAGATCAGACGCTTCCCGGTATTACATGTATTGATACCTAGCAAGAGACTCTTGTTTATTCTCCCCATTTCGACTCCCCTCAAACCGCCACCGCCGAAGAAGCCGCCTTCGCCGGCGGCGCAAACGTCTCCTTCTTGTAGACGCCGGCGCGCGCGTAGACGTCCTTGTACTTCTGCACGACGTAGTCCTCGACGCTGACGGGCGCGTACTTCTCCTCGTCGGCGGCGCGGCGGCAGCTCTCGATGCAGCGGATCACAAAGTCCGGGTTGCCGTTGTAGTTGAAGGGGATGCTGAAGCGCTCCCGGCCGGACCGGTTGATGACGCGGTGCACGTTGGACACGTACCGGTCGTTGGTCCACTGCTCGAACAGGTTGCCCATGTTGACCACGTACGCGCCCTCGACGGGCGGCGCCGGGTACCAGTCCTTGGCCTCGTCGTCCCAGACCTCGAGGCCCGGCACGTCGCCTTGCAGGAGCAGGGTGATGACGCCGAAGTCGCGGTGGGCGCCGATGCCTGCGCGGGGGGTTGGAGTAGATTGTGTCAGCATGTCAGCGCAAGAAAAGGGGTACACCACGCGAAGAACAAAGTGATGATGGGAAACGTGGGCAGTGGAAAAGAGGAAATCGGGGATAACCCTCACGAAGGGAAGTAGAAATCACGAACTTACCTCGCTGAAGAGCATGAGCATCCGTGGGCTGGGGCGGGTAGTGCAGCAACTTGTAGAAGCACATGGGGTCGGTGCAGAACTCGTCGAAGTAGTTCTTGTCATAGCCGAGGCTCATGGCCATGGCGCCCATGACATCCTCGGTGAGCTTCACGATGCGGTTCAGGTAGTCCATGCAGGTCTCCCGGAACGGCGCGCCGAGAGACTCGGGCCACACGTTGGGCCCGTGGGCGAACTTCTCCGCCTTGACCTGGGGGTGGTCCAGCGGCAGATCCCGCGACACGTAGTACCCCTCCTTGAGGTCGGGACGCGTGTTGGCCTCGATCATCTGGCCGTGCATGACTTCGTAGCCGCGGTTGTAGGTATTCTGTGTTTTGTCAGAGCCATGATTGTAGAGATGTCGCGCTGCATGAGGTAACTCCGTGGGTTTGTTGGGTGCTGTCACTTACCAGTGACTTGTCCAGCTTCATCTTCTCCTCCAGCGGGAGGTCGAAGAACTCCTTGGATTTCTTGAACATCTCCTTCTGCAGGCTGAGGGGGATGTTGTGGTTCACAATCTGGAAGAAGCCCTGGGTTAGACACGCCTCTCGGATCTGGGCGGCGCAGTGCTCCATGCGCTTCTGGTCCCCAGACAGGTAGTCGGAGAAATCGATAACGGGAGGGACTTTGTTCGAAGGCATTTTGTTCTAAACCTGGGTATAGAGGAGTAGGTACTGGGGTAATTGTCGCGAAGTTGATAGATGGAGGTTTGTTTTTGTGCTGAGCTGATACTCTAGTTCTCTTGTGCAGACGGGTCGGCTTTCCTGATATTTATACACACCAAGGGCCCGTTTTTACATAGTGACCACCTCGTACATCGCGATGATAGGTAAGACGGCGCTCTCCTACACTATCCTGTCGAGTTTGAGAGAGGGCTGATCATTGCCCTCCGTCTCGATGGTGACGACGATGGCAAGAGCTGCGTGTTGGGACGCGTACCACATCAAGACTCCTCTGCAATGCTCTCATCAGATAGCTTCAAATTCGGGCCACCATAGTACAAATTTTGAGCCAGAGCAACGGGCCTGCAGAATGAGGTGTTATCAGTTTGCATTAGTCTCGACGCTCCTTTAATGGAAGTATCCCCCGAAGCATAATGAACCTCCTGACCTTGAGTGACATATTCCGTACAGTGAGATTATAGTACGCAGCCCAAAGGAAGGTGGTTAGATCTTGGCAAGGTGCTTTTGCCAATCAGAGACTCCATTTACTCGTCCCGGAGCATGAGCACGCCATGTAACCTTGGTTTTGTGAAACTATCATCGCACTTGGATGCTTACTCTGCATCAAAGGCTTAGCATTATGCACGCGGAGCCAAGGGTTATCCTGAAGGATTCGTATCTGGCAAAACGGGAACCCCTGTCAATGCTTGTTGTGAGGCTACTCGATGTAAGTTGCTTGCTCGAGAGCACAAGCCCGATTGGAGTAATGAAACTTCAACAGGCCTCAGAGGTCTAGAACGCAATATTTCACTTTTCGGTCAGCATGCATTCCATCCTTCCATCCGATACTGCTGACCTCAGATGCAGCGTCCTCGACGCCCCACACTGAAATCGCCCATGGTACCTGATGCCTCTACATTACTTGTCGTATCGTAACGAGTCCAATCACTGGAAACCTGCCAAAGTCGTGGTGGGAAGCGTGCGTGGTTGAGACGGCGGATGAAAGAGTCGGTGCTGCTTTACCGGGCGTTGCATAGTAGGATTCCATGAAAAGGGGGGGCCATTTGGGCGTCCTTGGAGGATGCACATAGTACTTGTCTGGGATCGTCTCTATGAAGCCATGATCATCTTATCTGGCTTCAGCATGTTCTCAGTACTGAGGGACACGTCAGGAATGAGCGAGATGCTGTTTGTACGTCGGAGATGTCGAAAGGTACCAAGAGAGGAGGAAAATGCTCACCATGCTTGGTGGCAATACGTTCAAGTATATCTCCTTGGACTCGGCCCACCTTATGGAGTCACGTTAACTAGGGGTCTGTATGTATCTCTAGTTTGCTTTTATCTAATTGGATACATATAGACCCCTGGTTAACGTGACTCCACAAGGTGGGCCGAGTCCAAGGAGATAGGTCATAAGCCTTGGGGGCCTGTGGGGGCCGGTGGCTGTGGGGCCCCCACAGGCCCCCACAGGCCCCCACAGGCCCACAAGGTCAGAGACCGCGTATGTACGTCCGTAGGTACGCGTTCCTTATCCAAAAAATAATCGATAAGCGCAATGTAGTAACGTGTATTATTACTGAGTATAGCGGAAAATCACTAGTACAACTATAACAGGCTAATTTACACATGGATATATGTACTTTCATCCGATTGGATACAGACCCTAGTTGACGTGACTCCACAAGGCTTATGACCTCCAAGGAGATATTAAACCTTGCTGTCGAGCAATTAGAGTAGAATTTCCAAAACCCTCAGTTTCACACTCCTCTTTGACACCCCTTCATTATCATGCATGTTGGTATTATAGGAGCAGGCATTTCCGGCCTGTATACCGGACTATTGTTGCGCCGCGAAGGCCATACTGTAACCATATTCGAGGCCGCGGATCGCGTCGGGGGACGCATCTACACACATCGCTTCACGTCGCAAGCCAAGTCGGATGACATTTACTTCGAGGCCGGGGCGATGAGAATCCCTCGGTCTTCACTGCATTCCAAAGTCTTTGACTTCATCCGTTATCTCAACACCCATGGATCTGCTGAGAACAGGATCGAGTTGATTCCGTATGTGCTCGACCACGACAACAACCGATCATTCTTTCGGGGCGAAAAGGGACTACTGCAAGACCCGCGCTGGGCGGCCAAGGCTGGTCTTCCCGCTACCTACAGGAACAAGACCGCACAGCAACTCCTTGGCAGTGTGGTCATCCCATGGCTGACGCTGCTTCGCCAGAACTTCGACGATGGGTTTGAGAAGCTGCTGCAGTTCGATGAGTACTCCTTCCGCACCTATTTACGATCCGTTGTCGGATGGCCTCACGAAGTCATTGAATTTGTTGAGCTGTTCTGTTCGCAGACGAACCAATACGATCTCAGCTTTACTGAAATCATTATGCAAAACCTGGATTTCGACACTAAGGATGTGAGTCCACTTCCAGCACCGTATGTATGTACGTGGCCTTGACTGCAGCAGGACTGACGCCTCTCTCGTCTCTCGTGTACGAGCTATAGTGGGCAACAGTCCGCGATGGCATGTCGCGCATGACTCAGTGTGCAGCCTCCCTTGTAGGCTTCAAGAGCATCCGTCTCAACTCGCGGGTGGACCGGATCGCCTACTTGAATGATGGGCGCGTCGAGCTATCTGCACAAGGACTGCACGGACTGCACGGACTGCACCAGACGCACACGGAAGCTTTTGACGCCGTGGTGATTGCCACGCCTCCGGCTGCCATCCACAGCATAGTGGACAGGCCCATATGGTCGTTCATGAAGGAGCAGGCAATCAGGGGCGCCCACTACGAGCCTCTGTACAAGATTGGGCTGCATTTCCGCACTCGTTTCTGGGAGCGAACAGACAAGAGCCCCTGCTTCGGCGGACAGAGCACAACGGACCTCCGCTTCCGCTGGATCGTGTACCCATCGAATGATATGGGAAGCAATGGATCTGGCGTGTTGCTGCTGTACAGTTGGATGTCAGATGCAGCCAAGTGGAGTGGACTCCCGCAGGCTGAGCGCATCAAGATCTGCCTTCACGACCTCAGCAAATACTATGCTGACGACGCTGAGATTGACGTATACGAGCAGTACATTGAGGCTTTCGATATAATGTGGACCGCGGAATCGTGCGGAGGAGACGCCATGTTCCTCCCCGGACAGTTCTCCCGCTTTTTCGAGGTAGCCAAGAAGCGCGAGGGGCAGATCTTCTTTGTCGGGGAGCATTTGTCGAACCATCACACCTGGGTAAGCAAAAAAGCAAGCCTTGTTCTCCTTGGCCCTGCAGACCAACCCCGCAAATTAGGGCTGGCGCCGTTGCTGATCGTGATCGTGGGCAGATTGCGGGCGCTATTGATTCAGCGTGTAGAGCGACGGCGGAGCTGCTGGGGCGTCCAGTGCAAGAAGGATGCAGCAAGGAAACAGGTAAAACAGGCCAACTGGGAGCAGCTCCGGTCCCCGCACTGGGGCGCGAGTACAGTGGGGTGTACCTGACTGCAGACGAGAAGCGACTCGGGGGTAAGACGGATATAAGC